GGGGGGCACAGCTTGTGGGGCTGGGGGCAAAGATGGGGGCATGGCTGGGGGGCAATGGGGGGGCTGTTGTAGTAGGGGCGGTTGTGGGGCTGGGTGGGTAATTGTGGGTCTGGGGGAGCAGCTGTGAGACTGAGGGAGCAGTTCGGGGCCCGTTCGGGGCCGGGGCCGCTGCTCTGCTTGCAGGGCTGAGGCGGCAGCGGGGGCGGCTCTGGGTGCGGGCAGCCACAAAGCGGAGCACACCCCGCTCAGTCCATCCCTTTACTGCCCAGGCAGCAGCAGCAGCAGCGGTGGGTCGGGACCCACATAAGGCACAGAGTTTGGGGGGGCTGCGGGAGCTCGGCCCCGTCCGGCCCCCGCCTCAGTCCGGCGGCTGCGGGGCTCAGCCCCGGCTCCATCCTCCCGCGGGGCCGTCCTGGGGGCGCGGGGCAGCGCGGGGGGCTCAGGGGCTGTGGTTGGGGGACTCCCCCTGGATCTGCTGGGCCGAGGCGGTGTCGGGCAGCAGCACCTCCACGCTGTAGCTCACCCTCTTGGAGTGGAGGAAGCTGTAGGTGTTGTCGAAGCGCAGGACATCTGCGGGGGGACAGGGACACGGTGGGGTCAGCGACACGGGGGACACCCCGCAGCGCCCTGGGGAGGACTCGGCACTCACAAATGCCGGGCGTGGAGCAGGTGAGGGAGCCGTCCTCGGGCACCATGTGCGCGTTGTAGCGCTGGCTGGGGAGCACCTCGGTCATGTCGCCCGCCCGCTGCCGCTCCCCCACCTTGGTCTTCAGGTACACCCCGAAGCCGATGTCGGCGCCCTCGGAGCGGAACTGCCACCTGCACGGCACAGGGGCGGTGCTGCGGCGGGCTGGGGACACCGCGGCTGTCACCCGCTCCCCGCGGCACCGAGCTGCCGCTCACCTGAGGACGCAGCCGGGGAAGAGGATTTCGTACTCCACCTGGTGGGACGAGCCCCGGTTGACCACGACCGAGTGTTCGTACTTCTGCGCCAGCTGGTCCCGCACGTAGTAATGCTGGGGCACATCCCCCCCATAGTTTATCTGGAAGGGATGGAGGATGTGGGGGTGGGGGAACTGCCCAGCACCCCTGAAGAGCCCAGCCGGGGCTCCCCCTACCTTGCTGGAGCACTTGGGGTCCCCGTCAGGGTCTGTCAGCGTCCCCCCGTACTCCACCGGGATCTGTGCGGGGTCGATGTACTTCTGCAGGACCTCCTTCCAGTTGGCTGGGGGGGAGGACAGCAGGTTTGGGGGGCTGCAAGTTGGAGCATCTCCCCTGGGCAGGGTGACAGCAGAGGGGGGGACATGTCACCCCCATTTGGGACACCCTGGGGAGGGTCAGGACTCACATCCCAGCACCACGACCTTCTTGCGTGTGTCCTCGCTCAGGAAGTGCTTGACCAGGTTGTAGGCCACGGGGAAGAGCTTGGGGGCTGGGGGCAGAGGGAGCCATTAGGGGGGCAAAAGCACCTGGAAAAGGAGAGCAGGACCCTGGGGCCGAACTCACCCTTCACAATAAAGAGACGCTTGAGGGACTCAGGGTAATTCTCCTCGAACATGGACAGGATCTGCAGGACGGGGGAGCTCAGGTCACCCAGGCCGTGCCCCCAGCAGGACCCCACCCAGAACACTGGGGCGTGCAGGGCACTGTGGGGACCTGCTCCTGCATCATCCCAGGGATCAGCCCAGACCCCTGCAGTCCAGTGGGAAGGGGCATGGGCAGGAGCCCTCACCTCCCCATACGTGTCCACAGCTGGCTTCCAGAGGTGCTTCAGGCCCAGGCCCTCACAGTCGTACACCATCGTCACCATCTCAATCTTCTTGCCCAGCTGGGACGGGAGGATGGGGGGGATCAGGCAGGAGCCATGGGGAGGTCTAGGGATGGGGTGGCCCCAACAGGCTGGTCACGCCAGCCAGAGCCTCTTCCTAAGCGCTGGTATGGGGAGAAGGGGCATCATGGGAGCTGGGACAGGGACACAGGCTGAGGGACAGCGGGAACATGGACTGGTGGGGATGGGCAGGATGTGGACTTGTGGGGTGGGAGGATGAACCAGAGATGGACATATGGGGTTGGCAGGGATATGATCCACGGTGGGGTGGACAGGACATGGACTTGTGGGGCTGAGGGAGATGAACTGGACATGGGCCTGTAGGGCTGGCAAGTGAGAACATTGACTGGGCGAGATGGACATATGGGCCTGGAGAGGACATTGGGTGGTAGGGATGGACAGGACATGGGCTGGCAGGGACACAGGCTGAGGGGGATGGACAGGACACGGATCTGTAAGGTGGACAGGATGTGAATCAACGGCTGTCAAGGACACTGTCAGGTAGGAATGGACCACAGATGGACATACAGGGCTGGGGAGGACTTCGAGTTGTGCGAATGGACATGGACGTATGGGGCTGGAGGGACACGGACAGAGGGAAATGGACAGGACGGGGACCTATAGGGCTGGGGAAGATGATGGCTGGTAGGGGCAGACCAGATGTGGACACATGGAGCTGGCAGGGACATGGTCCCACAGGCCTGTTGGGACCAGCAGAGTGTGGGCAGGTTCCCACCTTTTCACTCTGCCCTTGACACTCGTGCCGGAGCAGTTCGCAGTCTCGGAACTTGTTCTTGATCAGGTCCTGCTTGGAGACGGAGAAGAGCAGCCCCTTGGCGTCCAGCGGCCCGACGATCTCGTAGCGCACCGGGCTGCCCTCCCGGTCGTAGCCGCACAGCCCGCCGGACATGTACTTCTGAATGACCTGCGGGAGCACGGGGGGTTCAAACACCTCACACAGCCCCGGGCGCTCAGGGGGACCTTCTCCTCCAGGGCCACCCCCGGGAGGCCAGGGACACTCACCTCAGGTGGCTCCCAGGCGATGATGTTGTCGGCGTCCATGTGCTTGCGGAACTCGATGTGCTGCAGCGGGGGCAGAGCGGGCCAGGGTGAGATTTGGGGCGAGGTGAACCCCATGGGCGGGTTCCCCTTGCTGGGGCTCGTGGCCCAGGGCATGGGGTCCCATGCCAGGTATTTCCCAGCACAGCAGGGTGCCCCCAAAAGCAGGGTGTCCCTCTCACCTTGCGGAGCATCGTCTCTGCCTTGGGCAGGTCGAAGGAGCGTGCTGCAAGAGAGCAGAGAGCTGAGCCCCCCGCCAGCCCCACAGGGCTCCCACCCCACCAGCACTGTCCCCACTTTGGGGTTACCTCGGAGCCATTTCAGGAGGAAATAGTCGTCCTGGGAGGGTAGGGAGGGCAGCACGTCCTGCAGCTTCTCCCGGAACTGCGGGGACAAGAGGGATAGTTGGTGAAGGGATCCCTGGTCCTCCCCAAAAACCTCGAGGCTGGAGGTTTGTCTCTTGTCACCCTAAAAACATGCCAACCAGGACTGGGACATTGCCGGGGAGAAGGGTCACCCTGCGCTCCCTCCCTGCCCCATGTGCAGCCAGGATCAGCAGTCACCTGGCAGGGGACTGTCCCCAGGCTGGCTGCCATGCTCTGGGTGTCCCCCAGCACCAGCTGTCCCCAGGCCCTTGCATAAGGTGTGAGTGTGGGCTGTCACCATCCCTCTCCTCCCGGGGTGTCCCACAGGGAAAGGGGAAGCAGTCCCCGCTAGGGGTGTCCTTTGGGATGGATGGAGGCTGTCACTGTGTGTACCCCTGCTCCAGTGACCCCCAGTGGGCCACAGCCCCCCTGGCACAGGCAGGAGGGTGCCAGGGTGCTGGACTGGGGGGTTGGCAAAGCTGGGGCCCCTCAGAGGGTGCCCTGCAGGCACCAGGCAATGCCAATGGCATCCTTGGGATGAAGCCAGCCACCAGGAGATCACCACATGTCCCAATTTCAGTGACACTGCAGTGTGTCACAGTCCCATGACACAAGCAGGAGGTGTTGGGGTGCAGGACTGGGCGATTTGGGGTCCCCTCAGGGTGGGACCAAGCAGATCAGTCCCCACCAGTGGCATCCTTTGGGCTGGAGCTGGTCACTGTGTCCCCTGCTGTTTGTGACCCCCAGGGGGCCACAGCCCCTCAGCACAGGCAGAAGGCTGTTGGGGTGCAGGACTGGGAGGTTTGGGGGACCCAGGGTCCCCTCTCCATGTGACCCCACTCACCCCAACCAGGCTATGGCTCAAATCTCTGTACCAGCCGAGGCC